ATTTGTGAATATATATATATATATTTAACAAGAAAATAGGTCACAGTCATAATCTTTCAAAGCTAACAGAAGGCAATGTATATGCTCATAAAATATCTCTTGATATCATTAGCATGAGAATACTTGATTAGCTTGCACATGGGTCAGACCAAGTTCAGATCCTATTACGGTTCAACAATGTTTTTATGGGATTATTACATTATATTCACAAAGATTTTTAAACAGTGGATTTAGAAAAGTTGCCACCATAATATCAAAAGGATATTTTCAGAGTAACTAATAAAAGAGATTAATGAGAGCTATGTGGCAATATGAGCAATATTATGAAACTCTATTTTGTTATAATTGATCTGACTAAAATTTAAGATAATAAACTGTTTCAGAATGAAGCGGTTTACACAGGGGTTGAAGGGACATCCTCATCTGTACTAGACCACCTATGTACACTTCACAGTCCGAAAGGGCTGTTCTCCACACATGTTCCCACACTCTGCATTAAGCAAGATATACTCTGGCAGCAGCAGAAGGATAAAGACAGAAAAGAGTATGAGATCTCCCAGGAGGAACTAAAACAGTAGGAAAATATTCCTAAAATAGGACTGAACTAAAAAAGTTATGAATAATTGGATATGTCTTCAGATTCTACCATAGAAATGTTTAGGAAGTGTCCCCCTATAAATATGTATAGGTGTACCTACCAAGGTATACATCTGCAAGGTGGGTGGGGTGGGTGATAAGGCTGCATGCTTGGGCTATGACAACTGATAATGGTCTGGTAGAGATGAGGGCAGAGCTGGATTCATGTTTTGTCAGCTCAGTGAAATAAGGGCTGATCAAATGTTTCCTATAATGTCTACACTATTCGTACACTCTCCAGATACCATAGCTAGAAACAATCTCTCTGGCCTCAAAATTACATGAATTCGTTCAGGCACTGACTGCTTTCTACTCTGTTTTACTGCTATTTACTTACAGGTCTTAATTCTACTCACAGGTCATAGCTCTTGAAAGTATCTGTACCTGATTTACCTTCATAGCTCTTACAGTACCTTGTCCAGTGCGCGATGAATTTCAATAGATACACTATTGATTGCCACTCTGAAGGTATAACAGGTACAAATGTATTGTTTAATTGAAGCTAAGAACTGGTATGCAGAGGATAGACTCAAGAATATGGTACTTAGTTTTTTGAAAAAGCAATGGCATATTGCCCTAGATGGTACTGCTTTTCAAATTTTTGATGACAATTATTTTTGGTGGAAACTGATGCTTGACAATGTGCCTGCCTTACAAGATCGATGCACAGTCAGAGTCTTTACATGCATGCAAAGGTTATGCTTTGATCTACTGTTGCAACCGTTCTTTTTAGCAGATCCCATTTGTCTCTTGGCCGCCTGTGGTTAGCCCAAAGCCACTGCTCAAAGAGCTCATTTCCAATGGTCCCATAGTGGGTTGGCCTGGGGCTAGTGCTTTCTGTAGGACTACAGGTACATCGTTTGAAGCAGTTTCTTTTTTTTTCTTCTTTTTTTTTTTAGAACAAGCTAAAAAACATTTTTTTTTATTGCCTTCTCTTTAAGGCTGCTGAGACAATGGCTGTTAAAGTTCCTGGCTGATGTGCATGCGTCCCACATAACCAGTACATCAGAGGCATGTGACATCAAACATCACCGGCTCTGCACCCCGGGACTTTGTTAGTGAGCGTTCTTTGGTATGTAATCTTTGCTAAGTCTCCCAGGTGAGGGTGATGCAACTGTTCACAAACAGGCTGGTGTCTTAGGTAGTCAGTCACTGCGCGCTGATGAAGGTAGCCTATGACTCTTACTGTCACACTCCTAATTAGATATGAAGGCTAATGCTACACTGGTACCTCTTACCCCTGGAGCACTATTTTTAAAATGGCAGACTGTGACTCATTAGTGGTAAAAAAACAATGTATTTCATGCCACAATAGGCATTTATATGAATTTATATGAGCAGGAAAGAAGAGTAATGAAGAACCTCACATTAGTAAAATAAAGTCGTTTTGTGACACTTGCTTCCGTTATATATAGAACATTACGTATGTGGATATTGGTTTAGAATGTAAAAAATATTCCTACTGTGGGGCTCTGTCAAAAAAAATTGGGAAAATGCTGCCTAGAGCTTCTTAAAGGCTAACTGTGTCTTCATGTTCAGTTTTCCTACTCGACTATCTTTAGATGGCCAATCGTCTAGATTTAAAACCTAATGAACTACTAAAATTATTTATTTTTTTGGTACATTACCCTCTTTGTACACTACTTTTTTAAAAAAAGATGCTTTATTTTAAACTTTATTGTCCAGTATAGGATAATTTTAATGCTCCATTTGAAATGGTCTGGACATGTGACCAAGGCCTCCAAGTACAGTATTTCTCATTGAAAAGTTTTTATTCTCCCAATGACTTATTCTAAATATCATAACTCTCTTGATACTGTCTACATACCACTTATCCTTGTATAGATTCTAACTGACCAGGAACTGGAGATCACAGTAACCAGTACTGAAGCCTTTCACACAGCACTCGCTACTTATGGGAACCTATGGAAGTAATTTATTTCAAATCAGTTTTCTCATTTTAATATTTAGAAAAAACATAAATACCATGCCCTCTATCCAGCATATGAGCAAGACTTCCGGTGTTAACTGTACCTTAAAATACAAGATGAATTTTCTGATATCATGAGATTTGATAAAATTCACAAAGAATTAAGTTTCAAAGCAAAGCATAATAAATAAGCTTTATTCGCGCACACATGCAGAGAGAGAGAGAGAGAGAGAGAAAATATACCTTCACTGTCCTTGAATTTCTTGATTGCCACAATTTCATGTGTTTCCTGCAAAGGAAAAGAGGCAGAAGGAAAGTCATTCTCCCATGTTTTCCAAATTGGGACTCCCAGTCGTCTGGGGGTATATGCTGAAACAGAGTAGCAAGGACCCAGAGAGTGAAAAATAGATCCTCCTCCACCTCCTCCTCCTCCCCAGTCCCTCATTTCTTCATTCCACAATTCTCTTTCTCACCACCCTGCAGGCTTCATCAGGGAAGGAAAAGGAGAAAGGGGAGCTGGGGGTGGGCATAACGCAGAGATGGTGATAGAACATGGAGGGCCCGGAACATCGTCAATGGCTTGAAGCTACACAAAAGTGCCAGGATGACTGACAACAGAGCATCAACTGCACTGCTCTCTGAAACCCATGGACACATTTTAATTGGGCTCCTAAGACCAGAGAAGAGACTTCTATAATACTTTGGCAGTTGCTCTTCGAAGTCTCCTCCATTTAGCTTGTCCTCACAAACCTATCTAGTTGTTCACCAGCTCTTCCCCATGGATAGTCAAATCCAAAGTGAGATAAACATCTGCATCAAATACCAATCGCTATCTTATTCTGCCCTTATTTAGCTCTCTCGGACTAAAAACTAGTTTGTGAGCAGAATCCTACTTTAACTTGAAACACTGATCATCTCTGCTTTTCCTTTTGCTGGTTGGAAGACAAGAAAATAAAGCTGGAAAGGAAATGGAAATGATCAGAACTAAGTGCCACTAGGCTAAATAAGTCGTGTCTAATTCTGGTCTATAAAAGGAATAAAAACGCTTTAGGTAAAATAATATATTCTTCAAAGCCAACGTGTCATATAGAAAGGTCTTCTGAATGACTCAGGCCTGCTCTTTTTCACTGAATACACTTTCAAATCCGTAGGATCAAGTCTTAATAAAACATTGTCCCTGCATCAAAATAAAGACTTTAAAAATGGACACAATACCAGGCAAAAACCAACAGGTATAAATCACTGACATTAAAAATATGTGCTTTTCCCTTAAGTTCCTTATAAAAGCAAGAGGAATCATGAATGTAGGGGGAAAAAGAAAAGAGACCATTTTAATCATTATGCTGAAAGATAAACCCTGAGTCATAACAATGTCTATAAATCAAACCCTTTCTATTTCTCATTTGCCCATTGAAAAAAGAAAATACCAGCTTTTAAATTTGTTATATGGGAAAAAATTATCTGAAAGTGCTATAGGCTACTGAGGAGAAAGATTAAGGGTATTACATTTTTGTTTTTAATGGAGGAATAGAATTGTAAATACAGACAGCTTTTGGAATACAATGTATTTGTATATTAGCGGCCCTTCTGACTTAAAGAAACTCAGCCTTCCAGGTATTTTCTGGTATTTTAACGTTTCATTACTGGGAAGGAATAACTGCAAAGTCAGAGTGATGTGGGGGATGACTGGCTAGAATATTAGTACATTTAGTACCAGGTAACTCTTCCAGGATGCTACTCTTTCTCAATACACTGGACTGATACTGTTTTCTTACCTTGCTCCTTTTCAAATGGCTCTAGCTACCACCTGCCTATGGCACAAGAGAAACTATCAGGAAACTCTGGTCACAGCACAAAGAAAGGGGTAGCATGAGATGTTGAGAGTAAGACTGCTCACATCTCAACAGGGAGTTGTTCCAGGTAGTATTTCATCCTATATTGCACTCTCAACTCAGAGTCCCACATATATATTTTTTATTGCATCCTAGGTGTTAAAAAGTTTGTCTGTCTTTATAAAAGTCTTGCTTTGTTCAAAATTGTCCACTGATATGACTACAAATGTAAATTTATAATTAGTGCATTTACACCATCCTGAAGAAAGAAATTCATTAGTTTCTTTTTTTCCCCCTTAGTACCTCATAAATAGAATTTACTACATAAAACAGTTGCCCAAAAGGTTGCAAAATAAAGTGAAATGTTTATTATTTTATTTATCCTACCAATACCATGAAAATCCTCTTTCTCCTCAAAACATATACACTCAATAAGGTTTATATATTTAAAGAATAAAGCCAAATAGACAAAGTTTTATGCATAAAATCATTCAACTTTTGGTGGAAAACACATGTAATTAAGGGCAGAAGATGCTGGAAAGAACTTAACATTTCATTTTTATTCATTCTGCTTATAAAAGTACACAACTTATTACAGAAAATACAAGAGAATATAAATGGTATAAAAGACTATAAGAATTTAAAAAGAATATAAAGACAAAGTCAAAAACTGTTTATATAATCCTTGTTAACATTTTGGTCTATTTTCTTCCAGTAAATTTTTCTCAAATTTGAATAGTAATATGTATATTGTTAGATGTTGTTTTTATTTCACTTAATATTGTATAAGGAACATTTTGATCTGTCATTAAATAATTTTTAAAACCACCATTTATAATGGACGGTTATTTAACCAATCTATCAATGAACATACTTCGACATCTGCACCTTTATTTCCACAAAGTAAATTCTGTAAGTGACATCACTGGTCAAAAGGTATAAACAGCAAAGGCTCCTAATACTGCTAAACTGATATCCAAAAAGATGTCATTTCACAAGTTCCTTCAGCAGTATATGAGAACTCACTCTACGGTCAGTCAACATTTAATACGATCATTTAGAAAAACCTTTCGGCATCAATGAGAGAAGTGTTTTCTTCTACCACCTGGCAAGTGAAATAAATTCTACTAAGGTTAATAATTCTTACTTATTCATGGATACGGATTTGTTGCTAAATTTTGTTACAAATATTTCCCCCAGATTGAATTATTTAGGGTGGTGTTGTATTATGTATTCAATGTATTGATGTATGCCTTTATTACGTTCACTATTTTCGTGCTCGGTCCTTACTTAGCTTGAGTGTATTTAATATTCATCCACCTTTACCTATCTTGATATTTTAATGATTTCTTTAAGTCTTTATTCATTTTCATTTTAATATGTGATAAGGGTATGGGAATCTCAATTTTAAAATAATTTCTAAATATTGAACCATTCTTCCCAATACCCGTTCTTTTTAATTCTTTGTTATATCTTAGTACCCTTACATATATAGTCTTTCTATTCTAGTCTATACTATTCATTCTTATGCCAGAACCAGTTTAAATTATTGTGACCTTAAATTGTTTTAAATTAATCTGGGGTTAATTCTTTTTATACCATTTTGTTAAATAAATTTATTACTGAGAATAGGTTTGGGCTGCTGTATTTAATTTGTAATTATATACACATGAGCTATTATATTTAGTCTATATTTCTGTACATATTTAATTGGCTTCACTGTTTACCACTAGTCCTTTCCTACTGCGGTTTTCACATATCTGAGTTCTTGATTCACATTGAGGTTTTGTTCAGCCAGTGTGCACCCTGGAATGGCTTTCTGAGGAAGTATCTATTGTCCTAGTCTTTACACATCTGAAAGTCCTCACACACGAATGGAAACTTAGAAGGCCCAGAATTATTGGGAAGGCAGCCTTACGTTCTCTACCACCTTCAGGGTCACGGTTGTGTGAACTGCTAAGCCATGGAAAGAGCCATTCCCATGATAAACATCGCAGGTTTGCATGTTTCTTAAAGCAACTTTCCAGCAGATAAGAGTAAATGTCTTGTAACAAAATCCACACACTAAGAACTTTTCCAAGAAGAAAATGAAGGATCTTAAAAGAAGGACTGCCATTTCCTAATCCATCCACGGAAGGCTCCAAATGGGCTAGTAATGTTCTGATGGTCTCCTGGTATTTCGTGTTATAGAAATAGAAGCCTGGGGCCAAGTTGGTTTTTGTTCCTATGCAGATAACTTTTTTTCTGCCTAGATGCTGTTGGGACTTTTTCTTTCCCTTGGAATAAAAATTTTTAATTATCAGAACATATCTAGAAGTGTTTGCGTATTTTGAACTAATATTAACTGGAAATCAATGAACTTAAAAAAGTTTTCTTCTAGAAACCTTAAATGTTGTTTCTGCTACTATTTATCTAATATTTTCTACTAGAAACCTTATAACTTTTAGGTTGGATCTTTCATAATTGATTTGCATGTTTTGTTCACTACTGCATCATAAATGTCTAGAAAAGCAGGCACATAGTAGTTGTTCAATAAATAACGAATAACTATTTCATGAGTGAATTAATCAAAACTGCTGCATCAATTTTATTCTTTTACTTCCTCCATTTTAGGTTTCTTTACATTCTTTCCTTATCTCAGCCGACTTCTGCAATTTTGGCCTTGTTTCAGCTTGTTCTGGCTATACAGGTCACATCCTCCTGGCTCTCCTCCAGGAGACTTAACTTCATTTGCTTATTACAAAAAATCATTTTTAAAACTATGTGTTGCTTCTAAATCTTCAGAGCTATGTTTTCTTTATCTTCTCACTGATTTTTCATAAGGTCTTCCACCCCACTCCCAATCCTTTTAACTCATGCTAACACAGGAAAAGATCTATCAGGCCTGGCATCTGGCAGCAGAAAGAAGTTTTTCAGCCACTTGAATTTCAAAGTCAGATGGATGCCCTCGAGCCTGATTTCAAAACCTGGATTCTTAGCAAACATTGCTCATTGGGTTAGCTAGTCTGAAGCTGGACTGCCTGGGCAGGGTTTTCTGCATAAGCTGTTTGCTGAACCCACAGTTCCAGCACATCCTGCTCCCACCTACACCTTGGCCACAGGGGTCTGTGAACCCTGGGATGCAGAATGCCGTTCCCAATCCTCTACATCCTGCCTTACTGTATTTGGGGCATTCGGTCTCTGAAAAGATCTGGCTATACAGGTACTGACGTGGGCTAGTGCAGACAGAGAACTCCAGCTCCCACAGGGTCAGATGACAGTTACCACCACCTGTTTCCAGCCCCTGTAGGCATGGGCCCAAGTCTTTTCCTACCTTTGAATACTCTGCCTTATGCTAGCTCAGAAAGCAGAATAAATAGCATGATGTTCAAGGCTGTACTTTTCAACCCACCTCCCTGGACTTCACCAAAGATCTCTGACAACTAGTTTAATTTACATAACTTTTATGAATTTTTGT